GGGCTCCCTGCTCGGCGGGAAGCCTGCTTCTCCCTCTCCCACTCCCCCTGCTTGTGTTCCCTCTCTCGCTGTGTCTCTCTCTGTCAAATAAATAAAAAAAAAAATATTTAAAAAAAAAAAGCTGTAGAAATAAATGACTGTATAGTCAATGACAGCTACCCAGCCAGGGAAATGAACAAAACGTAGCTCTGCATATCAACATGCAAACGTCTCACAAACATGCTCAACAAAAAGCAACGTGGCCAAAGACGCTCTAGACACGATCCCATCATATAAAAATCAAGACATGCCAAAGGCAGCCCTCCATTACTCAGGCATACATCCATATGCACTGAAACTTTAAGAAAAGCAGGGAATGACAAACTTCCAAATCAGCAGAGTGGTTAACTATGAGGAGAAGGGAGGGGACGCAGGGGGCCCCAAACGGTACTTGCTCCTGGTGATATTCTGGCTCACAGATGGGCCGTGGGCATCCAGGCGTTTGTTGGATTATTCTTTAATACTCTGCCCTGCCTATGTGGCCCCTGCCCACCCCTCCTGCCCGCTTCTGGCTTCCTCACACCCTCCTCCGTTCCTTGTCCCCACCAATCCCATGCCTGAGCAGTTTAGCGTGTCACACCATGCCAAGGGTGGGATGTGCTTTCCCATAGTGCCCCAGGAAACAGAGAAGGCTGTTTTGTATTGAGAGCCAGCAGAGGAAAGGTAGAAAGTCAGACTGCCCTGGTTCCTGCCAGCTTCCCAGCTCCCAGCTCCAGTCCCCAAGGTTGCCATCCTAAACTGCACCCATTTCCTTAAAGTCCTATTTTTGCTGAGTTGGCTCCAGTATGGTTTTTGTTGTATAATGTTTTGTTTTCTGTTGACTTGCCTCCCAAAGGGCTTTGGCTAAAACATCTCTGTGATTTTCACAGCTGGTCCCCTACTATTGTGTCTGTGGGGCTTCTTCTCTGGACTTCCCCTGCAGTTACTGGCACACAGGGATCCTGGCTCCCCAAGTGGGATCAACACCTGGGCCACCTTTATTGGAATGCACTGTAGTTGTCATTGTTCCTCCTACTAAAGTGTTGAGACCAGACCTGGAGACATGCTCTATGTAAATGGACTGACAAGTGCCAAGTTGAAAGGTACTGTCATTTCCAGTTTTCTAGACACTCAATCTCTAACAATGCAGCCTGCATTACTGGAAGCATTTGTCTTTTCAACAGCTGCATTATTCTGGTGACTCAATGAATTTGCAGTGAGAGCTTTTCCCCACGAACTACTGTCCAGCCAGCTCTCCCTCCGCTATATGCTACTTGCACAATGGATTCATTGGAAACACGCAAACCGTTACCTTATGCTGGTTAGATGTCATCCTCTTGGATCCCAACCAGCCATCTAGTCTTGAAAGCATTGTTAAATCATTGCACAAAACATTGATTCCGCCACTGTGGCAGCTGCGAATTTTATGAAGAACACAGTTCTTCCGTGTTCTAAATTCAAACTGTGAAAATGATGATCAATGGGAAAGGATATAGACAGAGCCCTGTGGCCTACCACTAGAGACCTCCACCGATTCTGGTTTTTTTGCACCCATCCGCACCCATCCACGCCCATGAATCGTAAACTAACTGTGCGGTGAAGGAGGGCCCACTCCCTTAGGAGCAGATCTCGGTGGGGAGGAGAGCAATGAGCTCCTGCCTCAAGCCTGCTCTCTGGTTGCAAACAACAGAAACCATCCATGGCCAAAAGAGACCATCTGATAAGGGGCTGGGGGGCATCAAAGATGGGAAAGACAGCAACACTGCCATGCCAGGGAAGGACAGGAAACAGGGCAGTTAAGCCAGTGTGCCCAGACGCAGCAGGATCCTTGGAGAGCATATGATTGGTCCCACATGGTTTATGTGCACGCCGGGGGCGGGGCACCTTGATTGGCACTCCTGGTAGGATCTGGGGCTTTTACCCCCCAGCTCCATGCTCCTCTGCTAATCAATCAGGGATCTCCAGGCTCGATACCTGCTGCGCATAGTGGGATCAGGAGCCAGACAAGTGCGTTCAAATCTGGCTCCACCATCCTTCCTCTGTGACCTCGGCAAGTTACCCAACTGTTCTGTGCTTCCTTTTCCTCATGTCTACAATTAGGATAAGGATTAACACCCACCTCCTGCACTTGTTTTGAGGATTGAATTTTAATACATGCCAAGTGCTTGGAACAGCGTCTGGCACATAGTAAGTGCTCCGTGTTGGTCAGCTGTGTTACTGAAATATTATATCGTGAGTCCACGGTTTTCTAGTGTCGCCCAAAAGAGATGAAGATCAACTCCCAGGTCTTACGGAAACTCTGGGAGGTGTATCTGGAAAGGGCGCGGTTGCCCTGTTGGTAAAGGAGAGAGGGAGAAGCGTAGCGGTTTCATTCCCAGTGACCCTCCATGGCATTTCTAGTCACTGCGTCCTTTTCTGAGCACTCTCAGATCACTGCTGGATAATCTGTCCAGAACTGCTTGGCAGTCAGTGTTGGGCTAATGAGTCCATGATTGCCGGGCTTACCCTTTCTGGAAAAGTGCGACTGCAGTGGTTTTCTTCTCTTCTGGGTCCCGACCTCTGGCGGTTCCTTGTGGGATCAGAGTTACACCTTCTGTTCGGCTCTCCTGGCGTGCAATTTGCTAGACCTAGAAATTTGGTTGTATTTATTTATCTTACTATATTTTTAGCATGTTTTTTTTCTAAGACCGTTTTTCTGTTTGGGTAGCAGAGTGACCCGGACGCCAGAGGGAACTGGAGAAGCTCAGGGGGCTTGACCACCACCCACTCTCCCGATCGTGGGCCACGGCCCCGTGCTGCCGTCCAAGCTCTCTGGTTCAGGGACACTTATCCACAGGCCTCTTGGGCCAATCCCACGTTCCAGTAACTCTTACACAAAAGGAGAAATCTCTGAGGCCCTGGGATGAGCACCAGGAAGGTCATGAACACACTCCTCGTGCCAGGCCCATATTAGGATGGAATGAGGGGGGCAGGGGGGGGTTGTCCGGGCAGGGCCTCTGTGACAGGCTCATCCAACTTGTGGAGACAGGGCCTCGGCCTAGCCAGAGAGGACTTTTATGGTATTTATTTACTTTTTTATTATTTTATTTTATTTTTAAGATTTTATTTATTTATTTGACAGAGAGAGACACAGCGAGAGAGGGAACACAAGCAGGGGAAGTGGGAGAAGCAGGCTTCCGGCGGAGCAGGGAACCCGATGCGGGGCTCAATCCCAAGACCCTGGGATCATGACCTGAGCCGAAGGCAGACGCTTAACAACTGAGCCACCCGGGCGCCCCTTTATTTACTTTTTTAAATTCTTAAAACATCCTGGACATAGCAGAGGGACAGTCACCCATTTTCCCCAGCTCCCAGTGTGATAGCTGTTTTTATTCTTCAGATGAGGTCTGCACCTGCATCTCCGTGGATGCATTTGGCTCCCCATGACTCTGGGGTTGTGGTGGAGATGGAAGGGATGGGTCCAGGCCTCGGGGATGGAACCTGGGTCTGTGACTTCTCTGTGCCTCTTCTGGGCACTACATTTCTACACGGCTTTACTCCTAGCAGACAGACTGATGCTTTTAATTTTAAAAATGTTTTAAATTACATGCTGGCTGCAAAAAAATATATATATGTATATATAGAAGGCTAAAAAATAAACAACACAAGTCACTCCCCATACCTCTAGCCTCATTCCTTAAAGGAGACAGCGGTAAACAATTGTGGGGTGGGCAACCTTCTAGTGACTTTGCCTTTGAACCCTGTTTTCCCTCTGTAAAGTGGAAACAGTGATGCTTGGTCCAAGGGGCCCAGAGGAGGTCTTGAAAATGCTTTCTGAGTGATGAGACTGCATGAATGAATGAATCGGTGGCTACATTATATATATTCTGTCGCTCCGATCAGTACAGCTTTGGCTTTCCTTTCATATCCCTTATTTCCTGTGTTTTTTCTCACAGTGGTGGAAAGCTTCACCCCCATTTCACAGGTGGGGAAACAGGTTCAATTTGCCCAAGGCTTTAGCCTTAGCATGACAAGGAAACAGAACCAGAACTCAAGCCCAAAGTGTCTGAACTCAGAGGCCCTGTGAACTGTTTCCCCTGGCCCCCACTGCTCTCTCCATGGTGCCCGGGCCAGCTTTGGGGGCCTCTGGAGGAGCCTAGCATGGGCGGGACATAAAGCAGGTGCTCAGTAGATATTGAACCACCAGATGCTTGCATGAATGCCCTGAGGAAATGTATGCATTATTTGTTTGCTTGGAACCAAATAAATGGTGAGGCCTTGGAACACTTGCCCAAGTCTCCCGAATGCCCATCCCTACCCCAGCTGGTTCAGCCTCCCCTTCATCCTATATAGAGAGGTCCCAGATGAAGCTGGTGTCCAGCTCCTTGGTCTCCCTGCGTCCATCCTGGCTCTGGGGGAGAAGAGTTGGGGAGAAGGGTGAGGTCTGGCCCAGGCTCCTGGCATCTGGTGGCCCTACCCTCACCTCCTGGTGTTTTGGGGGAACTTGACCCTACCCTAGGAAGTACCCAGGAGGACAGATCATCTGGGAGCAGAGCCCTGAGAGGTGAAACCAGTGCACCGGCCTGGCTGACCCAACAGCGTCGGAAAGACAGGCATGGCCATAGCTCTGCTCACGGAGTTGGACTAAACCCTGTCCTACTTCATTGAGTCCTCCCAGTGTGGCCCCAGATGGGACCTGGACCAGCCCCGTCCTAACACTTGACCCAGAGGACTGAGGGATGGGTGGTGGCTCCTATCCCCTCTCTGTCCCTTGGTCCCTGGGCTGCTGACCCACTTGGGCCCTGAATGGAGCTCCTGGAATCTCAGTGGAGCTGGGAGTGATGGGCTTGGCGTCAGGGCAAAGTGGGGAAGAAAGAGAGGGGATGGGCATGCTGCCAGACCCCACACCAGCCTCTCCTCTCCTCTTCTCCCCTTTTTTCATTTTTTTCTTTGTTTCTGTCCTCCACCCCCATTGCCTTCCTCCCACTTAGATCCCTCTCTCCTGCTCTTGCCAAATCCTGCCCCTCAGCCCTTTTGTGCCTGCCACTTGAGCTCTGCAGGGCCTGAGAGAGCTCAGGGAGGAGGAGTGGGCCCCCTTTGGGCAGTCAGAGAGGTCATCTGGGAGGAGACTCTGAGCTTCTAGGCTCCTGAAGTTAAGGATGTATCTGTCAGATGCAAAACAGGGAGAAAAAGATCTGGAAGGCAGGAACGGGGTGTGGGCCACCTGGAGGGACATCTATGGGAAGCAAGATTAAGAAGCTGAAAAGAGGTGCAAGAAATGGAGGCCTTAAATGCCAGGGTAAGGGGGTTGGCTCACATCCCCTGTGCAGTGGTTCTCAGAGTAGATGTCATGGAACCCAGAGGGTGCAAGAAGGAACCTTGGCGGGGAGGGCGTGCCTGGGTGGCTCAGTCAGTTAAGCTTCTGGCTCTTGATCTCAGCTCAGGTCTTGATCTTGGGGATGTGAGTTCAAGCGCTGCGTTGGGCTCCACGCTGAATGTGGAGCCTACTTAAAAATAAAAAAGAAAAGAAAAAGAAGGAACCTTGGGATTCCTTGATGGGGTAAATGGAAGGTTGGGAAGAGGAGACCCAGGGGTGGGATTCTGGGCCCCTGGCCCTGCTCTAATTTCACATTGGTGGGCTGGGCTGCCACAAGCGCGGGGCGAGCAACGGGGAACGGGGAATGGTATTCAGCAGGGACAGGGGGTGGCCCAACTTGGAGGAAGAACTGAACTCCAGGGGTCAAGTAACCCACCAGGCCTTTGTGCAGAGGTTCTCTGGCCTCCTGACCTTTTCTTCTCAGGCCCACCAGGAGGCAATAATAATCCTACTAACGCAAGCATCACGGTGCCAGCAGGCGCCATGCAATGCACACCGCATCACATTTTCACCCCAGGCAAATACGTTGGCAGATGGGGATATCGAGGGCCTGGCAGAGGAAGAGACTCAAAACCAGGGTCAGCAGCCAGCCTCAGTGGCAGAGTCAGGATGTTGGAAGGCCGGGCCCCCTTGGGCGGCCCTGAGCAGGCGTGCGCCAGGGGCTGTGGTGTCCCGTCCCGGCTGCAGCCTCTGGCGGCCACAGCCCCCTCTGCCCACCTGCCCTCCCAGCTGTCTCGGCCACACCTGGCGCCCATGTGCCCTGTGGCAATCTGAGCAGCCTGTGCTGCCCTTCAAGGAGACAGCTGGCAGGGGGCATGCGAGATAAGGGTAGGGTGGAAAGCAGAGCTCCTGCCAGAAAGCAGGAGCCAGCAGGGCAAGGAGAGACCAGCAGCCTCCGCTTGCTGCGGGACCCTGAGCTCCCTGGGCTAGGGCTGCTCTGAGCCACCTGGAGCTGGGGCTCGAGGAGTAACTAGAGGCAGCTTGTGGCTTCCTGGGCTCTTCCCCTCATGCCTGGAACGGTGCATTGGCTCCCTCAGGGCAACACCCAGCCCTCCATCCCACTCCAGAGTGATGGGAACGGAACTGACCGGCTCTGTGATCCCAGG